AATAGAAATGTAATAATAATTTAATTTAATTAATTGGGCTTTTAGCAAATACAAAACCGTATCTCATTCTGGCATGTAACTTCAAAGTGCATTTTTCTCCTTGCTCAACCAGAGGACTTGCCCTGTTCTTTTCCACATCTATGCTCATGACTGGCACCCCATCCCTGCACCCTGCTTCCCACATCCATATTTCTCAGAGCTGTTTTCTTTGTCTTTTTCCCAATGAGGATCCGGTGTCAGCTGTTAATAAATGCAGAGTAAGACACATGAGAAAAAAGAATTCTAACTTTTATGTATACAGTGATGGGTTCTGAATTAGCCACAACTACTCAGGGAAATGGGTTTGCTGTTCTGGTAGTTCTATGAAAACAAATGTGACATCAATTGAATTGGTAGCTAGCCCAGTCCAAACAAACAGGAGTTGTAAATAAGCTGTGGCACTCTTTGCTGCAGGATGTTGTAGTTGCTTAAAACTTACAGGACTTCAAAAATCAACCAAATTCATGGATGAAAAATCCATGAAAAGCTGTTAATTAATAAAATACCACCTCTAGCTCCAAAATTTGGTGCAAATTGTCAGAGGATGGGAGTAGATATGGCAGGTGATATCACTGTAGAATTGCTCTGGTTTTATATTCTTCAGTAAATACCTGCCACCGTCCACTATCAGATGCCAGCTCCTGAGCTCAATGGACTTTTGATCTGACATGATGCAGGCACCAATAAGTTGTTTGTCCCTTCCTGTTGTGCGATCACTGTTCTCGCTGTCATTCTGTTCATGTTGGTAGTGTTTTCCAAATTTGCTCTCTGCTAAGTCGACAAGACCAAGTCTTAATTCCTTTCAAAGAGGCTCAAGACACCTGCCCATGTACAGGTTTCACTTAACAGCTACAGAGCAATCAGTATTCACCTAGGAAGCCTGGGAAATTTCCCTGTCACCTTTTTGTGGGGAAAAAAAATAACATACTTATGGGAAAGAAAAAAAAACAAACTATAATTCCCTAAAGAAATACAGTATGAGTCTAGCTGAATGTATTTGTGAAGACTTGGTAGAAGAGTTGTGGTTTTTGGTCTCAGTGTGTGGGGAACCAGACTCAGGTGTCTTTTAAGAATGAAAATATCTAAATACTTGGGAATGTAGTCACTATACAACTCATTCACAAACAGAGAAGCCACAGTTTTCTCCTTTCTCCATCATAGAAACAGGGAAGCTTGATTTTAAGCTGTATGTCTGTGTTAGACTTCTCTCCTTAAAAATGGCACTTCTGCTAACTCTGATGAACATTTATACAGTGGTAACAACTGTGAGAAAGCAGAGTTGGGCTGTGTACAGCCTCTGTTTTAGCCAGCTTTTTCCAGACACAGCCAGAGCATAGTGAGGGAAGACAACCTGCTGGTAAAGTATCACTGGACATGGAGACTGTTGCTCCCGCTTCTCTGGCATTTACCAGAGTGATCAGCTGTGTACGGCATGCAGACTCGTGGGCATGTAATTTCTATATTCATAGCCGAAGCACTGAATAATTTAGTGTATTTTCAGTATTGAATTATGGAAAGAATAAAGATGGTTCTGATGAAAGATCTTCAGTGAGATGATATTATTTCACTTAGCTTACTTAAAAGAATCATTGTCAGCACCAGGTAAATGCAATTCTTTCTTCTCATGAACAAAAATCTGGAAAGATCTTGAGAGCTGGAGATCCAAGATGTGCTATTTCTGCTGAACTGAGGATTATACAAATGGCAAAGTATGTCATACTATTTTGTTTCATTTTCCTCTTTTACTGTTTTTTTCTGTTCTTGCTCTATCTTCTAGGAATATTTGTTCTCTGAGGTCAACTCTGATCTAGCTTGTAAAGCAAATGATTCACAAATATTCCATATATACGGGCCATTTTAACTATGCTAGAGAAAAAAAAAAAAGTATTAAGAGCCACAGAAAATATTTAGACAATATTCAGAAAAATGAAATGGCTCAATGTTACTAGTTATATCAAAGTGGACAGCTTGGAGGTTGCAGAATTTTGCAAGGGTTTGTTCTTAGGCCACCTTGATTATCTCAAACTGGCACTTCACTGCTAAGCACCTTCATTTGTGGTATTCAGCCATACTGTTCTTGTATTCCTTTTTGTAAGAGTATATGTAATACCCAGAGAGAGTGAGCCTTCACAGTGCTGTTGTGTAGTGTAAGGAGTTTTCCTCGGCATGAATTTGGAACAGTTACATTATTCATGAATAGCAAAGTCATAAAGAAATTATGCTGGGGACTAATTAGGACCTCTGTGTATGTCTTAGTGAACTGTGTGTCGGAGGAGAGAAAGCTTTAGATACATTGAACTGACTGACAGTTCAAGCTTCAACACATGCTTAAATCAAACACCTGCTAGCCAGCTGTGATGGACCATTTGGAGCAGGGGCTGCTCCTTTCATTTTTAAAAGTGATCCTTTCAGACATCAGGCGTCAGGCTTTTGTCTTCTGTGTGCCAGATTGGAAGGAACTGCCAGGCATAGATCTCCTCCCTTCAGCGATACATGGCACTGGTGTTAGATGTTGGGAATCCTGACAGCAAAGGAAGTAATGGATCCTTGAAGGTGACTTACTTCTACAGCCACCTTTTGCCTTACCTGCTTGTCTTAGGCTGTTCATTCAACATCTGCCTTATTAGGCTTATTTGCATGAGCATACTGTGAGTTATTCTGGAGCAATATTGCGTTTGGAATAATAAAATGAAGGACGTGCCATCCAAAATTAATTACATAGGGATGGACAATAATAAAAGCAAGCTCAAGTCTGTAAAATTAGTTTAACTCTTTTACCATGTCAGTATGACTAGAGAGCTGATCTGCATGGCTAGTCTAGCACAAGGACCTCAGGTGGCAGATTCAGAATGATATGCAGAGTTTGGAGAAGCTGGGTAAATACTCTTTTGCTGACACTTTGATGTGATGTTCCATTCCTAGGGCCATCATGTGGGAGAGCTAGGACCACAAATAACTAGTTTTGAGGGTGTTCATTTGAAATTATTTCTGTTATGCACATATAAAGCATTTCTGGGGAGCATTGAGGATCATTTTTATATAACTAGACACTTAATATTGGCATGTATCTGGCAGACAGAAACTAGATTTCTCTTCTAAGCACCATACAAATTACAGAGAGAGCAAGAAAGAATGAAATAAAGATGATAGCTCTTTAGACCCATAAATTAAGCCACCCTGCATGTTACTGCCCTCTCTAATCTCTTTCATAGTTGTTTACACCAGAGTCCTAGCAGTCCTCGCTTGTGTTACTTCTGGCATTCTACAGTGCAAATCCTACAGAGAGCACAAGTAAATAATACAGACATGTGTAGGTGACAATGCCAGCCAGGTTGTATATGCAGGTGATTACATATGATTTATGTGCACAGACAAGAGAACACACAAATGAATTGCCAGGATGAGGTACCTTTGAAAAAAAACAAAACTTCACACTTCAGTTCGCACTTTCTGGTTTGGGGTTGTTTTAAGATAACCTGTTTTACCTGCCTTTTCCCTTAAAATTTTGCCTTTCTCCTTAAAGGTTTGCTCCACTACCCTCAGTCTTTTTCAGTGAATTTAGGAGTGGGGTAAAGCTCTGGCCTGGTACAGGAACCCTGAGAATACAGAAGAAAGTTGTGCTGTTTTAAAGGGAAAAGAGCAGGTCAGCTTACATCAGCAGAGGCCTTGTTACTCTATATTCAAAAATAAATGCACTCTAAGCATCTGTTATTAGCCTTACTTCAACCACTCTTCCAACTTCCAAATAAAGTTTAGGAACCCATGCTCTTACGGGAAGGTTTTCTTGAAGGATTTTGGAGGAAATGAGCTCTTCTATGCAAAACCTGTTTCATATAATAAACTTTACAATGCCAGTGAATAGATATGAGACAGTTAACAGAATAAATCTTCTCAGTTTTATGAATGCACTTAGTTTCCGCCTGCTTTCTCCAGAGTATAGCATGCCAGGACAAATCCTGAAATCTGTCTCACTCAGATCCCTTATGGACAAAATACTAATTGAAGTTAATGGGAGCATGACTCGGGGGAAAACTTAAAATCTGCATATTGTAGTGCATGCCCTTTAAAACATTAAACAAGATGAGTTTCAGACAGGGCAATAGGAACTTCTCAAAAGCTTTTATATCCCACTTTCAGTGGTGACTTTTGATATTTGAGAACTTGAGTCTCACATAAAGAAAAGTAAACATAGCTGGTAGAACATCCTAGTAACAGTAGCACAATGAAATACTGAGTTTAGTCTCCCAGCATATTTCAGAAGTTGTATAAATTTTTTGTTTATCCCTTACTGAATAAATTTAAATGTTTGGGTTTGCCCCTTCAATATATAATAAAAAGAAAGTGTGGCTAAAAATGTTCTCCCATTTTATCCACTTTGGAGCATGTTTGTATGATGTCAGTAGCTGTAAGTTAAAGATACCAGGCTTAAGGAAAATCTGAGATTGTAAGAAACTACTTTTTTGCAATTTTCAAGCCCATTGTTCCAAATGACTGGCCTTTTAAAATTCTGACCTCCAAATCTGTAAGAAATGACAGGAAAAAAATTACATTTGTTACTTCTACTTCAGAGTCAGAAAATTCTGGGAATGTCAAACACAAAAGTTTTTATTTTGTTTGAAAATTAAAGCAATGTACAATACATCTGAAGTTTGGGATTAAAAAATATATTTCAGTTTTATCAGGATACATGGATGTCTCAGAATGGATTGTACCAGGTTGTAAAGGCTCAACTAATTTTGATTATACTGTGGAAAGCAGTTGCCTCAAAGAACTTTTTTTTGAAGCTTTCAGAAACTTTAGCATATTTCAGAGCCTTGGAAGTTAATTTAAAAGCAGGATTTAAATTACTGTTTCCACCTCAGAGATCTTCCAATATTACAAGAAACTAGTGTCAGGAAGAGTTTCTCTCTCTAATGAAGATTATTTTTTCTTCTTCTTTCCCACTTCCCATTTCCTGTCAGTCGGAAGTGTCTTGGATCCCCAACAAACACTACTCTGGGATTTACGGGCTGATGAAGTTGGTTCTGACTAAGACTCTACCTTCCAATCTTGAGCGAGTCATTGTCCTCGACACAGACATAACATTTGCCACTGACATTGCTGAGCTATGGGCCGTCTTTCACAAGTTCAAAGGTATTCTAATGATTTTTTTACTGTCTTTATTTGAGGGGGAGGGAGAATGGTAAAGCAAACAGTACAGCGGGGATAAAAGGCTATCTGAGATTTGTCAAATGTTTCCACTCTTGATTTTTGGTGTTTGAATATAATTGTTCTATTTGTGAGCTCTTTCCTCAATGACGTTCCATACAGAATGATTGGCAACACTGATTATCTATGTAGTTTCTTTTATTGGTCTAATTATTTGTGACAGGTGAGAGCTTGACAATACAGTAGGTGATGAAGAATTAGGAGGATGCTGTAGTGATGTATCATTCAAATACCTGTTGATACTCAATACTTGGAAGAACTTGTTTTATATTGCTTTTTATTAATAAAACCTAATCATTACTTTCAGTATAACTTCTCCACTTTACCACTGAAAATGAAGTTAGGATCATACTTGGGCCAGGGAGGAGGGTGAAGGGGTCAGTAATACATGTGAATAGAAATGAGTTACTGCTTGCTTCTCCGAATGAGTTGATAAAGGGTTCTGGATTTGAAGTATCCACCTAAAGTAATTTTCTCTACCTATCTTCATTTCCCACAGTTCCTTGAAAATTTCTGTGACAGTTTGACCAGGAAAGGAGACTTTCCGAATAACTGTGTAAGGAGATGATCACAAAGAAGTTCCCCATTACCCTGTCACAAACCAGAGCACTTTCCTGGCTAACACACTGCTAAAACCATTTAATTCTCCCAGGCTCCAGTGTTGCCAGCTTTTCAGAGTTGGAGATGTGCCCTATTGTTCTCTTGCCCTCAGAATATGTTTTGCAGTGCTGGTAAATGCAGAGACATTCCAGTATCCTGGTTTGAAGGTTTACAGCCCCATAAAAGTGTAACCTTGATGCATATCATCAGTTCTCTTAAAATCACCTCAAGCAAAGTCAGCCTAAGCAAATGGGAGTATTTATTTACAGAAGCCAAAATGTACCACTTCGTGACAGAAAAGAGAGTGTGTTTACTGTATGTATCCCGTGCTGAAATCCACAAGGCCTCTTTGCCTTCCCCAGTACCCAGCCATCAGGCAGGACCTATTACTTTCAGCTCTACAGTCAAGGACTGGGTTCTAGTGCTTGCCTCTCCATGCATTTGTTTCCTGTTCCTTCTCTGGGTTCGCTGATGTCCCTTCAGCAGGCCAGAAGTAATCACCTTCTTACTTAACTGAACTACTCACAGACTTGCTTCATTAAGGAATATAAAGTTCTTCCTCCTCTTCGGGTATTGTTCAAACCTCTTCATCAAGCTTTTCCCTAAACTGAACCTTGAGCTTCACATAAACATATACCTTGACAACCATAATTTACGTAAATGTATGCACAGGGAGTAATGCTGTGCTATTGTACCGTTTCACTGTGTGCTACTGTCCCATTAATAGTAATATTTTACTGAATATGGTATATTAGCATGATGTAACAGGTAAAGAAACATGTATAAACTGAACTTGGGCATAGAACACTGCATGGTCAAAGATAGCAAATTCTGAATTGAGACAATGCGGGGGGGGGTCACCTCCTTGCTTCTATTTTCTGCCATAGTTTCAATGAAGTTCCCTTGCTTTTTACTGGGGAAAGAAACCAAGCATAAAGATTGCTTGTAAAGAAAGAAATATGGAGAAGAGGCCAGCCTAAGATTGAAAACAAACACAGACAGAAATTATGGAAACATGGAGAATGATAATTACTGGAAGTAAAAAAGAGGGTGTAAATCAGTCTCCACAGAGCTACGCAAGGTTGTTCAGTTGATTAGAACTGTGAAAAGTTCTAACTTACCCATGGAGACAGAACTGCTGTGCTACTGCCAGCCCTCATAAGATACGTATCACAACTCCCAAATGTATGATCTTGTACATTGTCCAGTCAATCTTTTTAATTCTGGCTGACCACCTGTTTTTCCACAATTTTTTAATCCTGGCAATAAATTGTCTACATCTGCTCATCTCCCAGACAGTCATACATGTTCAGTGATAAGATGTTCCACTTAGTGGATGAGTGAAAGGCTATGGATGTTGTCTGCCTAGACTTTGGTAAAGACTTTGACACCATTTCACACAGAATTTTCCTGGGGAAACTGGCTGCTCATTGCTTGGATGGGTGTAATCTTCTCTGGATAAAAAAATGTCTGGATGGCCAGGCCTAAATAGTGGTGAATGGAGTTAACTCCACTTGGCAGCCAGGCACAGGTGGTGTTCCCCAGGGGTCAGTATTGAAGCCACTTCTGTTTAGTATCTTCATCTATAAATATCTTTGTTTATAAAGAGATTTTATATCTTTAGTATCTTTATCTATAAATATCTTTATTTATAAAGAGATTTTATATCTTTACCCAAGGGGATTGAGTGTCCCTTCAGTAAATTTGCAGACATTTCCAGTTTGGGTGGGAGTGTTGATCCGCTTGGGGGTAGTAAGGCTCTACAGGGGCATCAGGACGGGCTGGATCAATGGGCTGAGGCCAACTGTATGAGGTTCAACAAGGCTCAGTGCCGGGTGATGCACCTGGGTCAAACAACGCCATGCAATGCTGCAGGCTTGGGGGAGAGTGGCTGGAGAGCTGCCCAGTGGGAAAGGACCCGGGGGTGTTGGTCGACAGCCGGCTGAATACGAGCCAGCAGTGTGCCCAGGTGGCCAGGAGGGCCAAGAGCATCCTGGCGTGTATCAGAAATGGTGTGGCCGGCAGGAGTAGGGAGGTGATTGTCCCCCTGTACTCGGCACTGGTGAGGCCGCACCTTGAATACTGTGTCTAGTTCTGGACCCCTCGCTGCAAGAAAGACATTGAGGTGCTGGAGCGTGTCCAGAGAAGGGCAATGAAGGTGGTGAAGGGTCTAGAGAGCAAGTCTTATGAGGAGCAGCTGAGGGAACTGGAGTTGTTTAGCCTGGAGAAAAGGAGGCTCAGGGGAGACCTTATTGCTCTCTACAGCTATCTGAAAGGAGATTGTAGCAAGGTGGGTGTTGGTCTCTTTTCCCAAGTAATAAGGAATAAGACAAGGTGAAATGGCCTCAAATTGTGCCCAGGGGGGTTTAGATTGGATATTAGGAAAAAAATCTTCACTGAAAGGGTTATTAAGCATTGGAACGGGCTACCCAGGGAAGTGGTTGAGTCACCATCCCTGGAGGTATTTAAAAGATGTGTAGATGTGGTGCTTAGCGATGTGGTTCAGTGGTGGACTTGGCAGTGTTAGGTTAACAGTTGGACTCAATGATCTTAAATGTGTTTTCCAACCTAAACAATTCTGTGATTCTATGACTCAGTGGAAATGGATCATCCTGGAAAGCAAGGGCAGGTAAATTGGAGAGATACTGCAGCTCTTTTAGTGCTTTGTAAAAGATTGGTTTAAATCATATGGTGATTCTCCATTTGTTCTCAGTGTCCTTTTATTTCTTCTCCCAGCGTTACAACAGATTCAAAGGATGTCTCATGTCATTAGCCCCAAATATTCCTCTAAAGGATATGGTTTTAAACTAATATTTTCATTCCCTCCTTGTTTCTCCCTCAGAAGTCCCAAGTAAGTTTATGAAGATTTCTTTGGGACAATGCAGTGTGTTTGTTGAAATATTTAAACAGAAAAGAAATAAAACTGCTATGAAGGGAAATTGTTTTCTCCAAAGGAACCTGACAGTATACCCAGCTGCAGCTTGGAGTGCAGCGTTAGACCCTTGGTCTCTCCTTCCAGAAATGTTCAGACACACAGTTGTTGGCTAGAAGTGGCCATTATAAACCTGCTTGCACCAGGACGTTGTTTGAGCAAATAGAATTTTTCACATCCATGCAGGAAAGGCAAAAGCTTCCTTCTTGGAAGGATAACCAATAAGACACTCCAGCACAGCCGCTTCCAAATTACAGCCACGTAGATAAAGAGAAAGAAGGTCCTAGAGTCTGTGATTCTTTCTATGCCCAGGAAGGCTTTTCTTCCCGACAAAAATAGTGACGAGGAGAGACCAGTAGTTAAGATTCCTTTTTTCTAGGTCACCACACTTGGAGGAAACTCAGATTCAGGACTGTCTTGCAAATTAACCAGGTCCAATTTGTTGTACAGAAAAGCCCACAACATGTTTTAAATAGTGCCTGCAATACCCGGTATCCTTGTTCTGCAAAGGTTCCTCTTCCAGTCATCTTAACAGTTGCTGAAAAGATCAGATCCTTACATAGTAACAATATTTTATGTGGTAAAGATAGTATTACATTCACTCTGTAGATGGGAAAGAGGGAGTATGATTCCTTTGTAAATTATTGCTCTTCTGCCCTTTTCTGATAAGCTCTTTGCATACACCCTTGGAATAAATGATCCAACTATTCTGTAACTGAGTGCACAAATTAGGGCTGTACATACGTTGTTTTATTTGAAAATCTTTTCTTTGAAGTGGCAAGCTTGGGCTTTGGGAGAAATTCACACCTCTTTGGTAGCCTGAACAGTGTCTCAAGCAATGTAACATTTACAAATTTCTCTTAGCAGTTACTAGAAGTTGTATAATTGTTATTCCTTATATATGCAAGCTTCAATCTCTATGAATAAATACGTCTTTGGGAACCAATAACTTAAATTTCAAGAGTCAGATCCAGCTTTTCATCTGGGATTTGGACATTTCTGCTTTAGCCTCATTCTCTTTTGCTCTCCCATAGATAAGCAGTCTGTTTCGCTAAGACAGATATATACCTCCAAAATACTGACTTCAAAGGTGTGAGCGTGCAGCCAGTCTGGTGAAGATAACCTGTCATGCATGTTTTCTGTGACTTAGTTGATACTGATTATGTTTTCTATTCATCTTTCACTGGATTTTGACAGTTCTAAACTTGAGAAAGCATCTAGCCTAAGGGCGGAAGAGTGGGACTGTAGATCGTACGCATTCTTGGATGAAGTGTTGCACAGTGTTTCAGACAGCAAGGATTAGTGTAGCCAATATGCTTTTATTGCAGAAATCGTGTGAGTTCTTCCGAGAAAAGAACTAGTCTAAAACTATGCTCTCTGACATCAATCTTAA